CCAGGCCGCCGCCCGCGCCCGCGTGCAGCCCCGCGCCCGCCTTGAGCGCGGGGTGCTCGGAGTCGGCCACGCCGCCCAGGCCGTAGGGCACCGGGAAGGCGAACTTGTCCTTCTTGAGCAGCGTCTTGGGCTTGCGGCGCGGCCGGTACTTGTAGTCGGGGTGCTCCTTCATGTGCATGGCGCGCAGGCGCTTCGCCTCGTCGATGAACGGCCGCTTCTCCGACTCGGTGAGCAGCTTCCACTCGGCGCCCAGGCGCTTGCTGATCTCCGAGTTGTGCATCTTGGGGTTCTCCTGGGCCATCTTGCGCCGCTGCGCCCGCGACCACACCATGAAGGCGTTCATGGGCCGCTTGACGTGGTCCACCGGCTTGGACATGCTCCCGCCTCCCGGGCAAGCGCCCTCGGCCGGGAGGAGATCAACACCGGCTGCCCGCCGGGACCCCGGCGTCGCCCCCGCGCGGGAGGAGGGGGCCAGGGGACCCGCCCAGGGCCGCCTGGGGGTCTCCGGCGGCCGAGCGCTCGGGAAATCCTCTCCGGGACCCCGGGACTTCTCTGCGGTGCCCCCGCCCCACGGTGGCCCGGTGCCTTCTGCTTCCTTTTTGTCCTTCCTCTCTGGGCGGCGTCTGCTCGCGAAGTCCCCGCAGGTGGCCGCTGCCTGGCGAAGCTCTCTCCCGCCTAAGTCTTCCCCCTCTCAAATGCAAGGCGGCCCCAAAAGTTGCGTCGAGGAGGCTCCAAGTTGAGCCGGGGCGCCCGCCGCCGCGTGCTGCCAAGTGCCAAAGGGGGCTCTCGGCGGCTGGAGTGTTTGGGTTCTCCTCGGTGACTTTCTCATTTGACAGAAGCAGATGGGGTGGGGGAGGAGGGGAGGTGGCCCGGCAGGAGGAAGAGGAGGGGGAGGCGGAGGAGGATCCCGGCACGCACCGTAACGCGGAGGGCAGCAACGGATATAAATACAAATACAGCAGCACCAGCGGGTCTTCTCGGCTCCGGGTAATGCACGCTGATGGGAACCCCCGAGTCGGCCAGGGCTTGAGAGGGGAAATGTGCCCCCAGCACCTGCCTCTGGCGTCTTCCCTCCGGCCTTTGCGCAGAAAGGGTGCGGAAGGAGGCTGAAGCAAGCCTGGGTGGGCCGGCCTCAGAGGAGAGGGTCCCGGCTCGCAGAGGCGCCGCGTCGGGCTGTCCCCGGGGCCATGCTGGATTCGCGCGCTCCGAGCCCTTGCAGGCGCGGCGACTCCGGCTCCCAGCGCGCGGGACGTGGACGCGGCGCAGCCTCGGCGGGCCTGGCCGGGCCGTGTCTCCTGCTCGCTCCTCTCGGCCGCTCCTCCCGGCACTTGCAACTAACTTCGCCCAAGTTTCCTGCGCCGGCGCCGCCGCGCCCCTCTCGGCGCGCTCGCCTCGGAGCGTGCGCCCGCCTGTGCGCCGCGCCCCGGGGTCCCTTTCTCCGGGCTTCTCCGGCTACAGCCCCGCCTGGGCGAGGGCCGAGGTGCTGGAGGGGGGAGGGCTAAGAAAAACGCGCCATCACCTCAGTTCGCAGGTCTGCGCTGGGGTTGCTCCGGCTTTCCGCACTGCCGCAGCGCAGCGGGTCCCTTCCCGTCCCAGGCCGCCACTCTGCCGCTCGGGAGGCGGCTGGAGCCCTTGCGGTGGCTCAGGTGAGTGTCTCCACCTGCGTCTGTCCGCGCCCGGAGCTGGCGCTGGGTGTGCATGTCCAGGCGCGGGTGAGTGTGTGTATATCTTGGGGCATGCGGAGGAGGTGGAGCCCAGGACTCCGGCAGGGAGGAGGGACCATCGCGGAGCCTCCTCCTGCTCTCACAGCCCCCGGACCTGGAATTAACAGGATCCCCCCACCCAGCCCTCCGCCCCCTCCCAATACGCCTCCTCCCACTGCTTTGCACTTGAGAGCAGGTTTAGGCGAGTGCAGAGTCCGCAGCACGCCTCGGAGTCTGCGCACTGTTCGGCGTTGGCAAACCTTGGTGTTACTGCCCGGAGCCCTGGCCGGCCTTGGCGGCCGCTCTAGCCACAACTCGGGGAGTCCCGGCCCGGAGGAAGACGGAGGCGTGCAGAAGGAGAGCCTTGGGAACTGCAGCGGCAGAGGGTTAAGCCTGGGGAAGGGCGCGCGCGCGCGCGCGCGCGCGCGGGTGGGGGTGGTGTCACCCCTGACTGTGTTTGAGAAGGTTCCTAGCAGGAAAAGTGCTTATTTTCTGGGGAGACCCAGATGTTACTGGCAACAGATGCTTCCCGCATTTTCTTGCACCGGCGCTACACGCAGTCAGAGGTAGTGGAGTGAAAAATAGTTTAGGAGGGTCCCGGCTCGCTCCTGGCATCTCTTTCTGAAAGGAGCTAGCTCAGGCTGAGAGTATGCATCCCTGACTATTCTCAGCTCTGTAACAATTCTGTTTTGTTTTGTTTTAATCCTGGTCGCCAGAGCTATCTATATGCTGATCTCTTTAAGGTTCAGTTAACTTCACACTATCTCACTTAAACGACCAGATGGAGTGAAGGTGTTTAAAGTCGCTAAGAAGATGTAAATCATTGCTCTGAAAGAAGTAAAAACATACCTATCACGGTATACTGGGATATTTTTATGCTATTTCAGCATATTTTATGCTATTGAGTAGTTAGAGCATTTTTTAAATAGTTGAATATCATGCAAAAAATATCAAATACTATAATTTGTTTGTGTATGTTTCTCACTTCTTGATCTACAGCACATCTATCTGGGGAGTTTAGTTTCAAGGTTATCTGCCTTTCACGGGGAACTTGCTTGCTTGCTTTCTTTGGCAGTTTGATTTTGACATTGCCAGGTGGTATGCGTAAGCAGCAGCTTCTATAAACATTAACTTTTTATGTTTACCTGCAATTTACATTTAATTTGCACACACAGCAACACAAAAGCATTGAATGTAGGTATGAACTTATCATTTATTTAAAAGTTAGGCATATTTTACTGTTCATTTTAGTAAGAGAAGAGTGATTTTAAAAATTTTCAAATTGCGTTAACATAGAAATGTGAAGCAGCAGTGGCATGTATGTGGGTTTGCGTTTTTCTTAAAATGTCACATTTGCGAATGCTTATTTTGTATCATTTATGGTGTGGTATTGCTGAAACAATTGGTCTGATTCCTCTAGAACTGTATTCCTTTAGAAGGCTTTGTAAAGACACTGTTATTTTCAGACTCTGGGTGGTACAATATAAAACACTAGCAGGTGTAATTACATAGATTATAATATTAAATATGCTATTTTGTGATGATAAACTACAAAATTATCATCCCTGAATTTTTAACCTGGTACCTTGTATAATAGGTTTGAGACAAAAAATATACATTGTCACACAAAGAACATATTTAAAGGGACATGGTTATGAAAAACTGTAATTTACTAAACATCCTGAATAAAATTGAGTCTAATCATGAAAATTATCTTGACAGGTAAAAAGAGAGATGGATTGAGTAAATATATTTTATATTGGTGAGATGAATTATTTTATACTCTTTCAATTGAAGTTTTGAAATCTGTAATAATTATTACATTGTAGAAATGTATATAGGATTGAAATGTGTGCTTATACAGGCTACATCTTACAAAACTGAAATATGCAGCATTGCTTGGGTATAGTTTTTCAGGTATAAATTGTGCATCATTGCCTATTTGGCATCAGAAGGTGAACTGAATTGTAAAGTTCTGACGTCCAAGAATGTTCAACTGTGGAAAACAAAAGTGTCATAAAAGAAAACAACTGTTGTGTGCTTGTTTGTCTATTCGCCAAATAAAATTTCACACACTTTGAAATAGGGGACATTTGGTTTTCAGTTTTGGAATTTGGAGAATCAATACTTGCAGCCTAAGCCCTTCATGACCAAGGAAAGAACATTCACAGTAAACCAACCCTCGCTGTCATTAACCACCTTCTCAACTCTCCCCTGAACTAGGTTTAGCTTTTAACACATGTTCAAGCCATTATCATTCACAGGTACCAAAATGTAAATTCACTTTTAATTTGCTCCCAGGTTATGTTCGAATTGATGGAGTATTATATTTTTGTTCGTGTGATTTTTGTCCCAAAGATGAAAACTTCGAGGTTCTAGAAAATGGAATAGTCTGTGTGAGCAGTGAAGGAAGATTAATTTGAAAGAGAGTTTTAGTGTGATGGGCCTTATTTTGTCAGCCTTTGACTGCAAGAGCCTGGAAAAAAAGGCTAATTTGATCAGTGGGATTCGTGTGAGACTGAATTTTTCTTGTGGCCATAGGAATACCTGTGATCAGACATGGATATAATCAGAGACTGAGAGATACTTTCCCAGAAAAAGTTTGTGGGTTTGTAAATTGTCCCTCTCCCAGCTGTCCTAGTAAATGGTCTCTTCAACTCTGAAAACTTTCGCTAGGAGGCAGCAATGAGGTTGTGGGTGAATTAAAAAAAAAATCAAATTAAAAAAAAACAAAAACCCTGGTAACACCTGACTGACTAGTTTCCTTTCTCTTTCTCTTCTGTAAAAGAGAGGAGACTACAAGGGTCCCAAAATGAGCTAAGATGTTTTCCTCCATCTTTTCCGCTCCCTTCTCTCTCACTGGATTTGCACTCACATGGCTCACAGCTGCATCTTTCTAGAACTGCAGCTAGGAGAGGAAAGTGATGAGACATCCAGAGGGGCCAGGTGGAAGTGCTGGGTGGGAGAGGTGCTGCCTTCAATGCGCAAAGACCGCGTGCTGGGACCTGGCGCACTGAGGGCCCGCAGCTGCAGAGAACCTGGGTTTCTGCTCCCAAGCAAGTGCAAGGAGAAAGAACCCCAACCTTCCCACCTGCGTGGGGAGGCAGTGCAGCCTGTCTGTCCTGTTGAGAAGGAAATGGGCGAAACATGGCAACAGCTTTCGTCACAACTCTCCTGTCCTGCTGCAGTCCCCCATGAAGGGAAAAATCCCAAATACATAGTGCACGTAAATCCCAAGAGACCGGAAGAATTGATAGGGTTCAGTAGTCATGGAAGGAGCTGATAGCCACATAAGTAGCTCTTCACCAGTTGCTGCTAAATTTTCATCTTTCTGAGGCATCTACCCCTTTATTTTCACTGCTCCTGTTATACCTGGAAACTGGAAGTGTACAGATTAATTATGGGAATGCTTTTCCTCATTTCTTCTTGATGGTGCTCAAGCAGGCTGACATTTTCAAAAGGAGCTTTGCCTAGATAACAGAGCAAGAAGAACCAAACAAAAATAGTACCCTCTTGCTTTCCGTCCTCAGACCCCTCAGAAAAACCTCTATGGAGAAAGATAGTACAGATAATTTAAGACAGGCAACCTCACCACATCCTGACTTGAGATCTCAAGAATCCTGTGAAAGCAGTGGAGAGCTTTAACTCTCTTAGGATAAGTGCTTGTTAAGTAGGAGGGAGCTGATC